AAATGACATCTGTGTCATCTTATGTTTACGAAAGAATTGACGTAATGCGTTTGGAAATGGATAAGATAAAAAAAAATGAATGAAATTATTTGAGTAAACAAGAGAAATTGTTTGAAATCGAAAACTTTTTAAAGGAAACAAGAACTAATTTAAATTAATTTTTAAACATTAAAAAGAAAACTGAGAAAAAATTCATTTTTAATTTATATCATATATTTATATTTAATTTAATTTATATATATAATTTTTTAAATTAGAACAAAAGGAAAAAGAAAACCCATTGTGAGATGAACTTATTGAATGGGACATTATCAAATTTAATTGCAGCCTCAACTGAAAAAAAAATTTTTTTGAAAGTTGAAATTTTACGGAGTAATTATTATCATCAGTTTTATCACACTAATAACAAATGGGATTTTTAGCTTTTAGCAACTTGAATGAGTGTATTTCATTTCATTTTATTTCGTTCAATTAGTTACTGGAAATGAAAATTGTAGTGAATATAAACTATAAATACTATTTATTACTCACTGATTTAATTTTGTAAAATTTGCTTATAATTTTGCTTCAAAAAAGTATATGCAAAGTAGATGCATTTAAATTCGATATTTTCAAGATGATAATGAATTTATCTTCAAAATTTTAGTTTTAATTAGAAAAGAAATAGCATATGATTCAGATGAAATTAAAAATGTTTATAAATTTCTTCTAAAATTATCTCATTTTTCCATTTCTCTGCCTTCATTGTTTAATGTTATTCCGAATGAAGAAAGCAAGAAAAATTTTGATGCATAAAAAATATTTATTAAAAAAAAAATGAAAATGAAAGTGAGAATTTTAATAAAAGAAATAAATTTAATAAAAAACGAAGGAAAAAGGAACTTCAAAAGAAAGATAAACAAGTTAAATTACTGACAACCTGTTTTTCTGTGTCAGTTATATTTCAGTGGACAAATACAAAAGTATGAGCATTAAATGATTTTTAAAAGGAAGCATTAATTCCGTAATCGTAAATTTAATCATTATACAATTCTCTTAAAGAAATACTTATTTATTTAAAATTTTGAAATATGAAGGAAAAAGTGAGGAAAGTTTTGCGGAAATGAAAAACAAAAAAGAGAATTGAATTTAGCACCGCCGATTCATGCTTTCTCTATTCTTTTCTCAAATTTTGCAAAAATTTGAAAGTTAATCAACTGATGATATGAATTTAAAGAATGTTTTAAACTAACAAATTCATTTTAGTCATTTCAGCCAATGAAGCAGACTACTACTACTGCTTACAATAATAATAATAATAGTAATAGTAATAAAAATAATAATAATAATAATAATAATAATAGCTATAAATGGATGGATGAAATATATCACAAATATTGAATCAATGTACAAGAAAAAGGTTCTAAATTAATGAATGAATTCGAGCATTTGAATATAAATAAAATTTGATTTCATTTGAACGAAATAGATTTCTTATACTTACTGATAATGGGAATATTTAAAATTGTAGATAAGAAAGCAAACTAAGAATGCTGTTTCGTTTTTTTTCCTTCATTTTCAAAATTTATGTTAGAATTTAGGAAGAAAAATGAAATATAATTATTATTCATTAATTTGTGTTGTCATTGAAGTTTGACATTTTAGGAAAATACAATAATTTGAGATTATTTATTTTAAATGCATATGTGCACTTTTTTATTTTTATTGAATGAAAATCGATGTGAGTGAATCTTTTTGTTAGTAAATCTTGTCTAATTCTAAGTTAATTTGAAATAAATTTATCCATCTATTTCAAAATCAGATTTACAAAATATTTGAGCTATTGATTTCTTGCTGTAATATCTATTCTGTCGATCTTTTTCTCTATTGATTGATTTAGATTAAAAGGATCTATTGATCTAGATCAAAAAGAAAGTTGGCATATTTGACATATTCTGCAGAATTTTTAATCTCAGACAATCAATAGCTTTTGTTACAATACAATTCTTAATTGCAATTAACTGATCTGTTTCATAATTTTTGACAAATATAAACAAAAAAAAAAATCTTCAAATGTTTTGAAGTAAGATAAAATAATTGATAAATTTTATGCAAGAAAATGCATAATAGAATTTATGAGGCAAAAAAATGAATACAAGTTAATTAATATGAAATAAGTTACCAGAACAATAATCAATCAATAATGTATTACAATACAAAATGAAATATAAGACCACATTGTACAATGAAACAATATGTTAATAATGTGATTGGGTATTAGATTTTATTATAATCAGTAATTCAGTAATTCATTTGCATACAAATTTAATTAATTTAAATATGACATAGAAAAATTGCATGTTTGGATGCGAAAATTTGAGTGAGAAATATTGAAATCAAACAAATGATAAAATGATTGCTTTTTATTTTGTCAACTAATTAATATAGGAAACTGAAAAAAACTGATAAATTAGATTAATTTGTCTTTAATTTGTTTTAATACCAAATTAATTAAATTCAAATCAATTTCAAATACGTTTGATTGCCAAGTAAATGATTTTCTTTTCACTTCAGTTGTGATTGTCGTATCAAATGGTCAAATTATACCAGAAATAAGTAAAAAGCAAAAATTAGCCAACTGAAAATTAATTAGATAAAATAGCATTGTTAAGTTGATATAATATCACTTCAGGTAATCTTACAAATTATTCATAATTTGTTAATATGTCTATTAAACAAAAGCATATTTATGTTAAAAAATAATTTTTTACAAAAATTTTTCTAAAAATTCGACAATATTTGTTTAAATTAAAATTGAAAAAAAAAAGTGAAGAATGAACAGATACACAAAACTATAGATTTGGAAAGCTGGAAAATTTCTAAATATATTAATAACTAATAATTAAAAACAAAAGCAGTATGTATTAAATTTACCGGTTAGTAACAATATCAATACTTGTAAAAAATGAATTAAAAACTGAACAGGAAGAGGACCGGAAGAATATAAATGCTACCAACCATTTGAACCGACATCACCAACGTATACATTTAAAGACGATGAGACTAAATCCTGAAAGAAAACAAAATAAATAATTACTGCTCTTTTATTTTGAGAAATGAAATGCATTAAATTTTCCGGTGGATAAGAGAATAGGAAAAGCATAAAATGATAATACTGAATTGATTTTGAAAATTTTTTAATAAATATAAAATGATAATGTTAATTGATTCTGCAAAATTTTTTGTAAGCATAAAATGACAATGCGTTAATTAGTTTCGAATAATTTTTACAAGCACAAAATAAGATTGCTTAATAAGTTTTTGGAAATTTTTTTCATGAACAGAAAGTAATATCAGTTAATTAAAAAAAACCTATGTAAGCATGGAATTTACAATATTTAATTGATTTCGACAAAAATTTTTATAAGCAAAAAATCTATAAGAAACACAAAATGACAATACCTAATCGATTCTCGTCAAATTTTCATAAGCTCAAAATAACGGCATAAATGAATGAAAATTTCGAAACTAATCTAAAAAACTTTCTGATAGGCTCATTTTTATCATAAATTGATCAGTTAATTTTTAAAATAAAAGTTTCATCAAATTATTATGATTGTTTCATTTTTTTTTCTTGTTATCACTTATGAAAAATAACAATTATTCATTCCAATTATCTCTGTCTAAACAAGTAAGAACGTGATAACGAAATTCATTTAAATTAGCTAAGCTCTACTGAATTAGCATTTCAAAATTTAATTCGACATCATTTCATTATTACAAGTGGGAAAGAAAGTTAAAATATTGAGTAGAAATTGCAAAAATTAAAAAATAGTAAAAAAATATAAAATTTATTAAAAATTATGCATGACTGTAATGAAATTAATGATACTAGCAAAAATTGGAAATGAATTTGTATAGCATTCGAATATTGCTTATGAATGTTTAATAGATTATCTAAGAAAAATTGTATATCATTTCTCAGTATCTGATAATATTTTTAATTACTATTATAATGAAACTATAATTCTTAATATTATTTATTTGAAAAATGAATAAATTCTATGGTTAATTAATCTTTTATTTTTACTTAAAAGTGAAAAGGAAAGAATAATAAAATAAATTTATTGCAAAAAAATACTTTCAGAAATTTTAGAATACAATTTAAAAATAAGGAACAATTTGCATTTCTCATTAAAGCTTAAAAGAAAGGTGAAAAATTCAGTGACATACAATGGATACACATTTCACATTGTTATCAATTCACTTTAATTCACTTTTGATAATCAAAACGATTATCGATTTTCACTATCACAAATGATAATTTTATCAGTCTGTTGTTATGAACAGCATCAATTTGATCAATATCGTAATATTAGTGCATTAATATCTCTTCTTTTAAATAAGTTCATACGTTGCTTGAAATTATAATTTCAAAAACATTTTTAAATATGTTTTATTTAAGATATATTTTGAAAAAACTTCTAATATTAATTTTTTCTTATATTTTGCAATATTTCTAATAATAATTTCTAATATCCTCAATAATTCTAATATATTAAACATTTCTAACATTAAATTATGTTTTAATTGTTTGTCAACTTTTCAACAATTACAAATGATTCAATTCAGTTTGTATATTACGCGTTTTTCTTCTTTCTAAATTGAGAAAATGACATGAATTACAGTGATGTGACAGTAAAAAAAAACACCGAAAAAAAATTAATGAAATTATAAATGACTGGATGATTTTAAGAAAGAAAAAAATTAATTGATGGATTTACAAATAAGTGAATGAATTTAAAAAAGAAAAAAATGAATTAATAATATTGTAAAGAATAACATGAAAAAGAAAAGTTGACAGAATTATAAATGAATGAATGGAATTTTAAACGAAAAAAATAATTTGACAAATTCATAACTAAATTTTAAAGACAAAAAACTAAGCTAGTAAACTTGATAATTTAGATGTATGAATTTAAAATCATTTGTAAAAGAAAAAAAAAATTAAATTAATAAATTTAGCTGACTTGTCGTTGTGAATCAGTTCGTTTAAGAAAATGTTTTGTTGACATATTGTTTTGTTGTTGTTGTTCAATGATACAACGAATTATAGCATTCCATTTTTCTTTAGTAAATAATTTCTTGTAATTTGATCCTAAACAAATCTCTTCAATTTGTTTACTATCACGTGCATTCATAAGCGTTTCACGAAATGTCACATTATTGGTCACTAAACGACGCCAACGACCTGAAATTTTCGTCAGTTGAATACAAAAAATAATTTAATTTTATATTTTTTCGTTATGCTAATCACTTGAAAAAAAACATTAATTTATGGAATATATTAAATTAAAATATTTATTACTTGAGGAGAAAAAAATTCCTACTGACACCTTTTTTAAACTAATTTGTGATATGAATTTGTTAATTTAATATTACTTTCTCGAGGTAACAAATGTACAACTTGTAGCTTACTCAGAAAATGGAAAATTTTTCAAAAATAAGTAATTGAATAAACGATTTTTTTTTTATAAAAAATTTATTAACCAAATTCTTGTTCGGTAAGTTTACGTGTACCAATACCGCGTATTTTACCAATACATCGAATTAGACGTTCAATTGCAGGATCCAAATCATGATAATTAGGCATATGTGACATTCCTGAAATATTCGATTAAATTTGAAAGATAAATATTGAAGTTATATTTTCATAAAATTTTTAAAGTTTTAAAAAGTTTTTGAATCCAGCTGATTTATGGTTTAAAATTCCATTTAACATTTTTTATTTATAAAATTTTGAAGACTTTTTTTTTTTTATTTTTTATTTTTATAAAAAGAAGAAGGTTTTATTCAGCCATATTGAAAATACTTTCATTTTTTCTTCTTTTTTAAGATTAAATCATATTTCAAATTTTATTTATTTTGCTCATTGTTTTCAGATTTTCTGTCGTGAAACTAAAGCACCTTCAAGTGTTGATTGTGATGATGCATCACCGTCACCGAGCGCCATCTCAGCGGACCGATAGATTTCGGTGATTGAACGAACTTCGGAGAGTTGATTTTCGCCAACTGTTACCTCATTCATTAGTAATGATGAACATCTGTTCAAATCAACCTAGATTAAGAGTAATTAATAAATGATATTTGAACTTTTAAATTTTCAACTGTATTCTTCAATTTTATCAGTAAAGAAAAAGAAATTTTTATCATATTAAAAATTTAACATTAAAATTTCAGTTAAAAAAACCTTTTTTTGTTAGATAACTACAATGCAAACCAATCAGTTAATAAATTATTTAAAGTAATAAATGTTTAAATTTGAATTTAAACAAATGTATTACATATAACATTTTGCATATGATAACATGCAAACAACTTATTTAATATCAAGCAGATGAAGATTAGAATATTTATTTTCGTAAATTTCAGTACTCCTACAAATTAAGTTCCTAATTAGTACTAATTAGCTGAAAAATATGATGAAATTGATCATTCATACATTAATGTATTAGTTAGCTATTGAAAAAATAATTACAGTATTGATATTTGCTAACATTTTTATTCACATGTTTGTTTGGTAAATTGGCTAGAATACGACTTCGCCATTCCGAATAACATTGCGGTAAATCTTCCGCAACAGTAATTCCGGAATCTGTTGTTGTAGATCGTCGTTGGGAATAACTTCTCGTTGAAGTATTTTGCAAATTTCGTTCCGAACAGATCGATGAATCAGATGATAGTGATGAATTAATGTGTAGCGTACTTTGAACGGTTGCGGAAGATCTAAGATGTGATTAAAATTTTTAAATTTCAATTAAAAATTCCGATTATTTATTGAAAAGAAGTAAATAAAAAATAGATAATAAATAAAAATAGATAATAAATAAAAAATAATTTACTTGAAAAAATATGAATAATTTTCTAATTTTATCATTTTTTTTTTTTTGTAAAAATTATATAAAAATTGTTCTTTCAATTTCATTTTTATTCATTAATTTAAATTTTGCATCATAGTGTTATGGAGGAAAACAAAAAAGTGTTTTACTATGATAAATTGTTTAAAAGCAATCATTTTAATCTGGCAAATAGAAACCGTTCATTTGTTGTTTGAATGCTTGACAACTGCTTTGGTTTGACATTGTTCTTTTCATTCCACCAAAGATCACTGATACCAAATTTACTAATTGTGATACCTAAATGAATGAATTATTATTATAAATGAGCAAAATCGTACCACTATTAAATAAATATAAACATTTAGATTAATAATAATCAAATTTCATGAAACTTTTGAGGAAATGTTTTTTATCCAAAAATATGATAATATAATTTTATGATAAATTAATTTGACATATGCTAATAATAGTAAAAATATGATAATTCAGTTCTATGTTATGCATTCTTTTCTCCATTATTTCCTTCCATATATTGAAAATTTGTGTTGTATATTAATTAAAAAAAAACACACACACAGTAATAAATTTATTAGTATTTATTAAATTTCGTAAGGAAAAAAAAAATCTTAAATTTTTCGAAAAAAATCCAACAATAATTTAAATTTGATTTCATTCCATACTATAAATTTTTGTCATTCAGTTGAATAGTTTCGATAATTGAATGCTTCCTGTTATATTAGATACTCCTAAGATAACTTTTCATCATATTTTATAAATTTTATCGCAATTTCTTTTTTTTCACCATTACAGTACTAAAAATTTCACTTATCGAAAATAATAATTGTCTCAATTATTAAAATAGAAAAAGTTTCAGATTTATTCGCCTCAAAATTACACATTAAGTTAAATTAAATAACATGTTATTATGATGTATAGTGCAAATTTTAGTGGATTTAAAAAATAATAATAATAATAATAATTTAAGAAAGAGTTGATAAGAGAAGAAGAAAATAAAAGAAAAAAGAAGAAGGACGATGAAAATCATAAATTATTTAGAAACTAAAAAATTTGATCTGCAAGCCTGTTCTCTCGAATAACCTAATTAATAATTATTTGGGTAAGCTTTAAATAACAAAAAAAAAAAAATAAATTTTGAAAATTTGTCAGTTATTTGCCTAACAGAGTACTAAAATGACAAATTAAGTTTTTTTGCTTTAATTAATTTGCTGAAATTTTACAAACTAATTTCTTGCACTTGACTTTGTTAGCATCCATTCCATTAATTTAATTTATTTTGCTTTCTTTTTTTTACTTGAATGAGACCATACTTTGCTTCATTATTATTATGCCTTTTTTATGATCAAATGATATCCTGTACTATCCGTTATTAAATTTCTGCTTACCCATTCAAAAAAAGGAAACCGAAAGAAAAAATACTAACTTGTTAAATTTGAAATTAAAAATAGAATAATTAAAAACTGAAGATGCATTTGTGTAAACTCTCAGTATACATTTGTTTTAATTGGCACATTTTTATCAGATACATTCTTTTAATAGAATCATTTAACACCTAAAAGAATAAAGGAAAAGGTTAGCTTAGAAGTAAGTTTAATTATTTACTCAGTAAAAAAGGATAAATGGGAATCTGAAAAAAAAATGGAAAGAAATTTTAACAAATTATAATAATAGCATTCTTAATAAACAAAATTTAAAAATTCATATTTTAATCAGTTTTTTTTTTTATATTAACTTAAAATTTTCACAGTAATTTTATTAGGAAAAAGTTTTGAACTTTTTTTTTAGTATTTCTTAAACGAACCATCATTTGTTGAAATATTTTGTCCTTGCAAATTGCTTGGCATATTTTCAATCTTTGATCGGAAACAAATAAATGTAAAGATAAGAATAAGAATAATAACGAATAAGCCACCAATGATGGAGAAAAGAATTGGCCATGATATAATAGTGTTATCACTACTATCATCCATATCTTCACCTTCTGCAATTTCTCCGATGGTTTCATTTGATAATGCTGGTAATCCGATAGCATTTAGTGATTCACGTTGCATTGAATTTGTTGACAAATCTCTTAAAAAAAAAAAAAAAAAAAAAATTAATCGCCGATCGAAATTCGAGTATTTTACACTTCAAAATATGATATTATTTCAGTATATCATGGCTGTTTGTTAGTATTTTTAAAAGAATAAAAAAAAAAGTATACAAAATTCTTAGAATTAAAAAAAATAGAATACAAATAAACAAGCAAAAAAAAAAAAAAGAAAAATTTTTCAAAAAAAGTGCTAACGCTAATGTAATAGCATTGAATGATGGATTTATAGATGGAATATCAAGTTGACTTATTTCCGGTAATCCGTATGTACATTTAATGATATATGTTTTATCACCAAGCAAAATTACAGCTGGATTTTTTCCAATTCGAATTCGATTTTGAAATACTCCCGTAGAAAGCTAAATGATAAATGACAAAATGCTTTAAATAAGAATTATTCTGAAGTATTAAAAAAAATATGGAAATTTTTGAAAGAATTAATTTGAAAATTCTTCAATATAATGAAAGTTACTCAAAATGATTATGATAGTATGAGATTTTCGAATGATAACTTTATGCAATTCTATCCATTTATATCAGCTATAAATCAAATGATTGCAACCAATTAATTGTTGAAGCAACAATATCATAATTTGCTTTTAAAACTTTTTCAAAGCTTTTATCATTTCGATGATACGATAATTCCAGTAAGTGTTTCAACATTTAATGATCCGGAAATTTATTTTCTTGAATACATGTATATATTTCCGGAAACAAAACTTGATGTGCCAATATGTTCAACTAATCTTTTCCATTCATAGTACTAACTTATAGTTTGAAAGTTAACATTACCACACTTTTCAATGATAAACATATTATCATGCAGAAAACTTCTATTTTACTTTTCTGCTTGCATTGGCTTTCCTTTCATTTTTTCTTCAAATTGCTATTTGTGAAAATGAGTTCATGAAAAATGGAAATTCTAGACTGTAGCAGAATCGAATTTCAATTTCATTCGTATTAGAAAGAGAAAAGAAAAAGAAAAAGAGAACTGCAGAAATTTGCGACAGAAGAAATTTGACAACAATTTTTTTTCCTCTCATTGATAGCAATTATTTAATAAAAATTTTCTCGCTACATAAAATAAATGAGAAAATGAAATTACTGTCCTTATAAAAAAAATAGATACTTTTTTTTTTATTCTAATCAAAAGTTAACTTTAACCCCGAGTTAATTTCGAATTTCAATCCAAGTTTTAAAAGACTCATTTTGAATTCAATATCAAACAACTAATTCCTGTTAAAATGATAAAATTAAACACATCAACCAATAAAATAAATTAAAAACATTGATTAATAAAAACCTCGACTAAACGTCAATTAATTATAAACTAATTAATAATATTAATTAATATATTTGAATTAAAATTTTAGCAAAAATAACGAAATTCTAAAATTTTAGCGACTAAAATGCGATTAAAGATCGTTGAATACTTTTGAAAATATAACATGCTATAAATTCTGTATAAGTATTATCAAGAATTTCTGAAGCTATTCAACAATTCACTAAAATCATATTTTCAAATCGGATGATGATAACTTTTTACTGACAATAGCTATTACTGTAAAGTTTAATTTTTTTTTTTTATCAAAATCAAAATATTAACCATTTCTGTTTGACATGGATCATTGAAAACTGCAAGTTCGATAACATACTGCAATTCACCATTTCCCTTTAAGCGGCATTCAGCACGATTATTTGTTCCAACAATAATCCAATCTTCAAATTGTCCAGCTGGCCAATCATTACCATTAAATTTTAATACTACTTTAATGGATTGTTGCTCACATACTGGTGTCACTATAAAATTTTAGTTTAGAAGGAAAAAAAAGAAAAAAACGAATTTTTCTCAAAATTTCACCGAAATTTTAAATTCATCAAATTTTTTTCCTAACTTCATATACATATATAAGCTAATATATCATTCATAGTTCATACTAATAAATATTAGTTTACAATCAAAAATTGCTGATTTTTGGCATTTTTCAACATTTGTTTGTCATAATTGATATCTTGTAAATAAAATTAAATAATAGATAATAATGATGATAACAAGTATATATTGATAATTCATATGTGACATAATAATTGAGAAATTAATATGTGAGCTCTGAGTCACGCATATGTTTATAATAATAACAATAGCAATAATAATAATAATAATAATAATAATAATAATAATAATAATAATAATAATAATAATAATTTTTCATACCGTTCATTATTTTACATAGTGACAGCATAATTAAGATTAGGAAAATAATGAAATAATCGATTGGAATTATTAATTTACCATTGACATAATATTGCTGTTGTAATTCTGCTGCTATTGGAATTGCAGCACAGATTCTAATTGTAATTAAAGCAATAAGAAGTTGCAAACTTAAATCCATTGCCTTTTTCGAATTCTCAAAATTTTAATTTTACAAAGGAATAACAGAAGTCATAGTTAGCCAACTTAATTGAACATCACATAGGTGGATTCTGCCCGTTTATCTTTCCTAAAAATCTATTTTTTTGGAAAAAAAAAAGAATTAATTGACATTATCAATCATTATTGAACCAAAGCTGTATCACTCGAAAACATAATGTAATCATTTAAAAATATAACAAAAATAATTGTTAAAAAATTTTAATTATCATTGCAAATCACACAATTTAATATTACTGTAACAGTTTGATTAGTCAATGCCATTTGCTTCTTTGTTTTTATTTTCCTTTTTTATGCTACACAAAAAGAAAATTTTGAGGAAAATTTGAGATAAAAAAGAAAAACTAAAGAAAAAAGAAAAAAATAGGGAGATAAAACAACGAAAAAAGTTTTAAATTTTGAAAAGAAATGAAAGAAATTGTTGATATAATTTCAGAAAAAGGATAATCTAATAATAATAATTACTGCATATTTGCATATAATATATAATCTACAAACTTATGTGCATCTTATAAATGGTACCAAACATACATTCGCTATTTTTCCAAAAATTATCATTGCCTCCGTTCAAGGACTTTTGAATGACTGTCAGACACTATAATCAAAATTTTCCTCATTTATTTAGAAATATCTTTTTTATCCAATGAATAATAATAGCTAGTGATGGCAGGTGACATATGAATTAATGCTATTACTAACTACTACCTGTCACTCTGACTGCTTTGAGTGAAAAGAAGACGAAATTAAATTTTGATTTTTTGTCAAAGAATGAACAAAAAGGTATCAATAATCGCATTTTCTAATTAAGAATTTTACAATGTAACCTAAAAATTATAGGTAAAATACAATTCTTATAATAGATGCAGTTAATAATTTAAAATCAATAAATTTACTCTGGAAATTTACTATTGCTTTAGTTATTGTTTTATTTTAAATCATTTATTTTAATTTCAAGTTGTATATTTTAAATCATTTATTTTAAATCGTATATATCTCATTTTAAAAAAAGAATTGATTATTTCAATTTCAATTTGAGGAATTCAGTTTCACTTAAATCTTTTAATACAATCAACAGTATTAGAGGAATAATTTAACTAATATCTTTTCGCATTTTTCCTTATTTTAATCAATAAATAATTTCTTCATCATCAAATAATAGTTTAGCAGATAATAATATCATTAATAAGGCATAAGTTTCGACTTATAATAAAGATGAAATAGAATATTCTCTTACAGATCAGTAGTGAACAATAAGTGATTTTTGTACAATTTAGAAGTTTGTGTAAAACACAATATAAGTTACCAAATTATTTAATTTATTAAAATTTGTAGAACGAAACTTTGTAGAACCATTATCATCCATTTTTTCTTTTTTTCTGAATTTGAAAAATTTTTTAATAAAGAATTACAAATTTTCTTGGCCAATCTAAATTCAATATTTTTCTTTCCTATTCTGATTAAGTAATATTAGAAAAAGGAATGGAAAAGTTTTTGAAAGTAAATTGAAAACGAAGCAATAAATTGATGGTAGTGAAGTATAGAGGAATGGTTACACTATTGAATCTGTTTGGTTTAATTTTTACAGGTCGAAGAGATTTTCAGCGATACTATTGTATGCAGCAGTAGGAGCATGTACACACCTCACCAAATCATTATGTGAATCGCTGTAGTGGACAGTTGGACAATTGAATGGATGGACAGAAGGGACCAATTCGAATTAGACACTTCTAATTGCTGGTGCTACTGCTGCTGCAGCATCAGTAGTAGTAGTTTTTGCGATTAATTTTTGTAATTAAAAATTATTTATTGGTACTATCATCGTCATCAAAAAATAAGATTATTTCTTTACCGAGTGTTAATTAGATCATATAACAGAAATGAATTTCTATTTGACGTTATCAGCGGACATAATGATATAATTACATATAATGTGATCATTCAGTTTTTCATATCAATAAATTGTGTTTAGCAACAATTATAGCAAATATTTATTTATTTCCAATGAAAGTACAAAAAACAGTATTTCGTCAAAGTTAAAAAACGGATAATTATGATTGTTTATTAACTATAAAGGAGACAACGAATAAATTTCTTTTGAATAACACAACTGGTAGAGCAATAATTAACGCTATCAACAGGACAAATATTTTAATTTGACCAATTAACTCAATTTTCTTTTCAAGGATAAATATGAAGAACTACTGCTAGAAGGAAAATGAAATTGACAAATAAACAGATTAATGTAAATATGAGGCAATTAAAATTTGAAAATTTTACTAAGAAGACCAATGGTCATTCATTCATTCATTCACTCCTCTTCTTCCATCAATATCCTTCCTCACTTTCATATCCTTCCTACCTGTCCTTACAATTTTAAGTATGCAAATCCTTACAGTATGTACACAAACAATACAATTTTCCACCTTTCCAGCTCTTTCACTTCCTCTTTCTCTATCTTTCCCTTTCTTTCTTCCTTCCTATTATATGCACAATTTAAGTATTCTAGTAAGATTTATTTGCATAAATTTTATTCATCTAAATAACAAATACAGTATGTTGCTATATGCCAAATGAAGAGATATTTTTGAATGAAAAATGGATTCATTCAATAATATCGTTTAAAAATGATGACGATAAAACTCAATCAAAGTATATAAATTATTTACAAAAGCAACAATAATAACAACTCCAATTCCCTCCCTCTCTCCCTTTCTAATTGATCTATTTTCATCCATTCACTATTATCCTCTTCAATATCCTACATTTTCAAATAACCAAGTATTAAAATCTCACTCAAAATTTTCTTTTTTGGAAAGATCAAAACCTCACATTATTGATTCAATCCATATCTAATAATTTAGATATTTAAATTTTTTAGATATTAAAGATATTTAAAATATATTTCATGTAATATCAGCAATCCATCATTTTAGCTCAATATTTTATAACATTTTTACGTTGCCCGAACCTACAATTTATCCTCTTTGAAATCATTTTATTTGGTAGCAATAATTTCGTAGTTCTTAAAAACATGAATGCATAATTCCAAAGATTATTTTTAAAGAGCATCGATCAGTCAACCAATCAGTCCTTTAATTATCAAAAATTAAAACATCAGAGAATTTTTCCTAAATATACTATAAGTAAATTAATAAATGAGCATAAGGAACGAAATAAAATGAAACATTTTATTACGCATGAAAAATTTCACTCAATTTTGCAATCATCAAAAATAATTCCACTAAAAGTGAATTTTTGGACACTGTTCACAGACTAAAACAATACGATATACATTGCATATATTAATTTTTGGCAGTAAATTATTTCTCCTTTCTTTTCTTTTTTTCATTTAGAAACAATTAACAAATGAGATAAAGAAGAAAAGGAGAAAAAAGAAACGATTAAAAAAAATAAACTTATGTGGACAAATAAACTGAGATTAGTGCCAATATAATATCATTTCAGCTATAAAGAAATAGCTATAGAATTGGAGTGAAAACCTGAAATTTATATAACTGATGAGTATTATTAAAAGATGAAAAAGCATCCCAATTATTTAATTCAAACTATCAGATTTTAAGGAATAGATAAGTCTGATAGCTCATTTAGATTGCGCATGAATGATATGCTCAGAAAAGGACTTAAAATCAATAAAAAAACATCCAAAAATTTTAAATTGAATCTTTCGCATAATTGAAAATTCTTCTAAAGTCTCAAAATGTTTAGTTTTCGCTAGCTGTCAAACAACTAATAAATGTTATAATATCAGACAGTAAAAGCCCAATATTAAAAATAAACGTTAGCAGTAGCTTAATATTACAGAATATTAAAAATGAACACTATCACACACTTCTGTCATTCTATCTCAGAGAGATAATATCAAATTATAAGCATAGAAAGAGACTGAAAAAAAAAAAAAAAAAACTCCCCAAATTTCTTACAGTAATTTTTCGAACTTTCTTATTAGCATTGCATCATATCACACAAAAATATAGATTATAATAAATAGAAATTAGACCTTCTTTGGAAATTTCTTCACAACGTATACAAAAAGGAAAAAAATGATTTGAAAAAAGGAAGAACAAAGAAATTCATTGACAAGATAATAGAAAGTTTCCATATAAATATTAAAAATCAATCATTTTTGAAAATATTTTCATAACACTAACAAATCAAGACAACAGATATGCATATTTCACAAAACTTTTGATCAAAAAAGACGGGAGAGGTAGCAGTATTGGCGACATTTACGAATGCAGAAAACAAAAAGTGCTGAAAGGCATCGGATATCATACAATCGTTTCGATCAACAAACAACAGCACATCTGTTTTGCTGAAATGGAAAAAAACTCAAAGATTTTAATCGGAAACTTATGAGCAAAGTGAAAAAATGTCGACTTAGCTACATGTTTCGGGAATACCAAAAGAGTTATAGTCGTATTATGAATAGACAAAGGCCGAGAAACTAACGCATGAAATATACTTATTGCTAACTACTAAACCATCCTAACTTACCTGACAGTATAAATGACTCGTTATTAATTTCTAAATATCCTTCACAAAGTGGTGAATACTGCTTTATAAAAAAAAAAAAAATTACAGGGTAAAGACGAAATTGATCAAAAACACTGCAAAGATCGTCGAATGTGTACTGTTGAAGGACAGTGAAATTTGAAAGATCTGCTTTCCGGGCACATTGAACACAGTATACGGGAAATTTACCATTTACCTCACGAACAAACAAAATGTTCCAAACTTCGATCTGTAAAGAAAAAAGAAACCTCAGAGTTCGTTTATTTCTCAAAATTATTTTCTCATGCTTCACACTCATAACTGAGCAATAATTAAAGTGATCGAAAGCATAACAAAATATAAAACCAGAAATAAAGTAACATAAAACTTAGAATACTGAAATGTATTGCATGCAAATTGCATTTAAAAATTAACAAATGTGCTAATAAT